CATAGGTGCAAGCATATGTGATAACTAGGACTGTTTTTTTATTCAATCATTCATCCTATTGGTAGAGAGCGTAGCAACTCTATCCTGTGTTTACTCTGAAAAAAACCTGTAATTTAGTTAACCGTGAGTCCAAAGTTCATAGAAGCCCAGTTCTTAATCTTAATGGATAGTTTCATTGATCATTGTTAGCTTTAATAAGCTTGTAAATATAAACACAGTGACTAGTCTGTTTACTAAGAAAATACGTTATTCTGTGAGCTAAATCAAAACTGGTTGGCATTCTTTTTCATGGCATGAATACCTATGTAGAATCTGGTGTGAACTTACTAAGAGACAAAATACTAGTATGAGGGACAGAATGTTTTCTCATTTTTTTAAAGTTTTAATTCCTTTTCATTTTAACAGTGCTATTTTTATTTTGTACTTTATATATTTAAAAATAATGTTCAGGGGCGCCTGGGTGGCTCAGTTGGTTAAGCAACTGCCTTCGGCTCAGGTCATGATCCTGGAGTCCCTGGATCAAGTCCCGCATCGGGCTCCCTGCTCAGCGAGGAGCCTGCTTCTCCCTCTAACCCTCCCCCTTCTCATGTACTCTCTCTCTCTCATTCTCACTCTCTCAAATAAATAAATAAATCTTTGAAAAAAAAATAATGTTCATATTGCATTCATTTCTTTTTTTATTTAGGTTTTTATTTTAATTTCAGTTAGCTAACATATAGTGTTATATTAGTTTCAAGTGTACAATATCGTGATTCAACACTTCCATACATCGCCTGGTGCTCATCACAGCAAATGCACTCCTTAATTCCCATCATCTATTTAATCCATCCCACCCCCTTCCCTCAGATTGTTCTCTATAATTAGGAGTCCATTTCTTAGTTTCTCTCTTCCTATTTTTTCCCTTTGCTTGTTTTGTTTCTTAAGTTCCACATATATGTGAAATCATATGGTATTTGTCTTTCTCTGACTGACTTATTTTGCCTAGCATTATACTCTCTAGTTCATCTATGTCATTGCAAATGGCAAGATTTCATTCTTTTTTATGGCTGAATAGTATTCCATTATCTCTCTCTCTCTCTCTCTCTCTCTCTCACACACACACACACACACATCTTCTTTATGCATTCATCAGTCTATGGACATTTGGGTTCTTTCCATAATTTGGGTATTGTTGATAACTCTGCTATAAACCTTGGAGGGCATGTATCCCTTCAAATCAGTATTTTTGTATCCTTTGGATAAATACCTATTTATACAAAGTGTAATTGCTGGGTTGTGGGGTAGTTCTATTTTTAACTTTTTTTTAAAATTAACATTGGCATCAGGGAAATACAAATATATTTTTAACTTTTTGAGGAACCTCCATACTGTTTTCCAGAGTAGCTGCACCAGCTTGCATTCCCACCAACAGTGTAGGTGGGTTCCCCTTTCTCTGCATCCTCGCCAACATCTGTTTATTTTAGCCATTCTGACTGGTGTGAGGTGATATCTCATTGTAGTTTTGATTTGTATTTCCTTGATGATGAGTGATGTTGAGCATCTTTTCATGTGTCTGTTGGCCATCTGGATGTCTTCTTTGGAAAAATGTCTATTCATGTCTTCTGCTCATTTCTTAACTGGATTATTTGTTTTTTGGGGTGTTGAATTTTATAAATTCTTTATGTATTTTGGATACTAATCCTTTATCAGATATGTCATTTGTAAATATCCTCTACCATTCTGTAGGTTGCCATTTATTTATGTTGATCATTTCCTTCGCTGTGCAGAAGCTTTTTATTTTGATGTAGTCCCAATAGTTTATTTTTGCTTTTGTTTCCCTTGCCTCAGGAGACATATCTAGTAAGAAGTTGCTATGGCTAATGTCAAAGAAGTTACTGCCTTGTTCTCCTCTAGGATTTTAATGGTTTCAGATTTCACATTTAGGTCTTTCATCCATTTTGAGTTTATTATTGTATATGGTGTAAGAAAGTGGTCCAGTTTCATTCTTTTGCATGTTGCTGTCAAGTTTTCCCAACACTATTTGTTGAAGAGACTGTCTTTTTTCCCATGGGATATTCTTTCCTGCTTGGTCAAAGATTAATTGACCGTATAATTGTGGGTTTATTTCTGACTTTTCTATTCTGTTCTATTGATCTATGTGCCAGTATCACACTGTTTTATTACAACTTTGTAATAAAACTTGAAGACTGGAATTATGATGCCTCCAGCTTTGCTTTTCTTTTTCAAGATTGCTTTGGCTATTCGGGGTCCTTTGTGGTTCCATACAAATTTTAGGTTTGCCTGTTCTAGCTCTGTGAAAAATGCTGTTGGTATTTTGATAAGGATTGCATTAAATGTATAGATTGCTTTGAGTAGTATAGACCTTTTAACAATATTTGTTTTTCTCATCCATGAGCATGGAATGTTTTTCCATTTCTTTGTGTCATCTTCAGTTTCTTTCATCAGTATTTTATAGGTTTCAGAGAACAGGTCTTTTATCTCTTTGGTTAGGTTTATTCCTAGGTATCTTATTATTTTTGGTACAATTGTAAATGGGATTGATTCCTGAATTTCTCTTTCTGTTGCTTCATTATTGGTGTATAGAAATGCAACAGTTTGGGGCACCTGGGTGGCTCAGTCATTAAGCGTCTGCCTTCGGCTCAGGTCATGATCCCAGGGTCCTGGGATTGAGCCCCTCATCTGGCTCCTTGCTCGGCGGGAAGCCTACTTCTCCCTCTCCCACTCCCTCCTGCTTGTGTTTCCTCTCTTGCTGTCTCTCTCTGTCAAATAAATAAATAAAATCTTAAAAAAAAAGAAATACAACAGGTTTTTGTGTGTTGATTTTGTATCCGTTGACTTCACTGCATTCATTTATCAGTTCTAGCAGTTTTTTGGTGGAGTCTTTAGGGTTTTCTATATATATATTATTGCATTCATTTCTATTTATTAATTCTCTACATGTTAAAATTTCTAGATTTAATTGTTGAAAGAATAATTTTTATTAACTATAATAAACATGCAACTTCAGGGCATGCTTCACAAGCCTTGGTCACGTGGTCTGAATTACCAGATTTAAGCCGTATCTCTCTCAAATTTCAGATTAGAACTATACTGTTTTTTAAAAAAACTACACTACCTTATTTTTAAAAGATTTTATTTATTTATCTGAGAGAGAGAGAGAGCACACATGAGTGGGGGGGGGAGGGAGGGATAGAGGCAGAAGCAGACTCCCCAATGAGCAGGGGGCCTGATGTGGGGCTCGATCCCAGGACCCCCAGATCATGATCTGAGCTAAAGGCAGATCCTTAATTGACTGAGCCACCCAGGCGTCCCTACACTACCATTTTTTAAAACTCATTATTAAACATGTGAACTTAAGCCATTCATTATTATTCTACCATATACTAATATACGATGTACATTAATATACAATATAATGTATACTTTTATCATGAATCTTTCATTCTTAATTTAACCTCTTTTTAGTACAGTACACATATCCTCAGCTGTGCTTCCTGACTCCAGTTGAGATGTTGCTTAACCTTCTATCAATAATACCTAGCAGACTACCACTGGGAAGGGCCATGAGGGGTAAGAGAGGAAACAGCTCTGGGGATTAAATACTTCTCAAACAGATTCTACTTGCTCCTCCTGATAGTCATTCCACCTTTATCTTCTAGTCCAGAAATACCAGTGCTGTTAATTTCCACACCTTTGCAAGATTCTGGAGGGTGTATTGGGTTGGTTTTCAGTTCTCTCCACTGCTGCTTTGGATTTCAGCTTTCTTGAGTTTTCTAAGTCAGTTACCATTTATTTTCTCCCTAGCTTCCAAACTTTTAAGTTTATGCCCTTCCCAGAACAAAATATTTTAAAATAACATCTGAACAAAAAATATAGTCTATTTGGATACATTCATTTCTTTGATCTCTAAGTTTCTTATTTATTTTATTTTAATGCCTCTGTTAATGAATTTGTTTTGGTGCAAGGAGCTCCAGTTGCAATCTCAAATGCCTAAGGGGCCAGGTATGTGTTGTGGTTCCTCTCACTGGATCCAAACCTTAGACAGGTCAGGGTCAGAAATAATTAGTTAAGTTTGGGGGAATTCCAGAGCAATACAATGTGTGCCCTATTTTCCATTTGGGACAATAGGAGATTACCTGCTCCAGACCCACAGGGTAGGGTATAGATGTAGAGGGTAGGATAATAGGGTAGAGATGAATTTGTGACCAGAGGGTGAGACAAAGGGCCCAAGACAGTCCCTACCTCCCCCTCTTCACATCCTGCCAGTTTCCCATGGTTTTATGTGGAGGGGACATTTTCAGAAGTTTCCCATATATCCCCAGTGAGAGCATGGGAAGTAGGTAAGACATGCAAGTTAGGGGCATTGCTATGTGACCACCAAAGTGAGAGGCAAGGTGCCAAGACAGAGACAGGGGCTAGATGGAGTTCACTGAGATACAAGGATCCAAGCCTCCAGGGAAGAGCTGAGACTTCTGGAGATGATGCTGGAGGTGGGTTTGTTGCCTGCTCCCAACCATGTGGAGAAAACAGACCACAAATGAAACCATGGATTTTAGCAGTGGATGCAATAGGATCCCAGGAGACTAGCAGCCCCTCCCTTCCTCAGGAGGGCCCTGAAACTGTCTCCTCTTGGACATGACATCTTGGGAAGGAGGCGGCAGCAGTGGTGAAATTTTGAGCATAAAGAAACAGCCTTGAGGGAGGTCTGAGCCTTGAGGTCACTGACTATTTCGTCTGAAAGAAACATTTATAAAATGAAAGAGACCGTTTCAAAGCACAAGAAACTGTTTTCATGGGAAAGGGACTGAATTACCTTTAGCAAATTTAAATGTCCCTCCTAGCAGCAGAGATTGTGGGCTCATAAGAAACAGTATAGGAAACTAAAGAAGCCACATTTTTCTTAAAATACCCGAGTTGTTAGTGTACATGTCAAGATATGATTGCACCCTCTTGTTGGAATGTTGATTTTATTTGAATTCATTGAATGCCACTTCATTAGGTATTTTAAAAATATTTTATGTATTTATTATGTATGTTGCATCTGGTGGTATAACTGTTTGAATACGAAACTAGAGAAATCTAGGGAATTTCTTTCTGACATGCACTATAATAGTTAAAACAGGTAACAGACAATTGCAGGTTGCGTTAGACTACAAGATTGTCATTTGGTATTTACTACAATTGCAAAATCAGCTCGTTAAGGAAAGATAATTAGACTCCCCCGAATCTCTTGATGTCACAATATAAATATAAATTGTGGGGTATGACATATAAAAAAATTACTGCCTTCAATGTCCTTAAGTTATTACTAGCCCGAGAGAGAGAGAAAACATAGCCAAGTGTATGTTTCCGAGTGCGTTTATAGCAGGCATTTGTCTCCCGCTCCCTGTTCTTCAGTAACAGTAGGAAAAACGTCTAAAAGCCTTGGTTTTAGGTTTGGAGCTAACCGTTTGCTCTACTTCTGCCCAAAGCCACCGGTGTCTTCGTGTGTAAGTAAGTGCGCGTGAGTGTGTGCGTGCTCGGGGCTGTGTAAGGCTTAATTAAGCTTTGGGATAGAGAGTAACCGTGTCGTAGCCCTGTGGGGGCCTCGTGCGAGCCCTTGCGTGGGTCTCGCAGTACAGCTCCCCCTCCACGAAGAAGTAGCCCTTCTGCTTAAGGTTGAGGTTACAGTCGGCGCACACGAAACACTCCGGATGCCGGTGCTTGTCCCGAGCCTTCACAACAGCGCCGCTGTTGAGGGAAAGACAAGACGGAGTGACAAGCCCAGAGCCGAAGACCTGATGCGAAGGGAAGCGACGCGGCCGAAGCTCTAACCAGGCTTCTCTCCCACTGCCGGTGCTGTCTGTTGCACGTGCAGGAAACAGCCTCCGGCCAGCCCTTGCAGCTGCAAAGCCCGCACGGCCGTGAGGCTGCCGTCACCCCCAGGGAGACCCGAGGCGCCCACAGGAACACGTCACGGGGTTCTCTCGGATGTTGACGTGTGACTCTTGCCCCCATTTTCCAAACAAGCCGCTCCTATAAAAGCTATAGGATCTGCCCTCGTGATCTATGCCCGTTGTTTCTTTGGAGGAGGAAAACGTGAGGCAGGTACGGCAAATACCTCTGCAAAGGACCCTGACTTTGACCGAGCTTGCCTACACATCTAGGAGTCCCTCTGGTGGCTGTCTTGGCGCTGCAGCCTCTACTCTACGGAGCCCAGAGAGAACGGAGCAAAGGGCGGAGGTGGAACTTCCGCGGGCGGGAAGGCTCACCTCTGCTGTCAAAACGGTTTACTCCAACCTAGGAGCATAATTGCTTTCGGTACCATCGTAAGCTATTGTGTTTTATGAGATCCTCTGCTCCTGAGCTGCCGGTCCTGCTTCTTTCCTTCCTTCCTTCCTTTCTCTCTTTCTTTCTTTCTCTTCCTTCCTTCCTTTCTCTCTTCCGTCTTTCTCTCTTTCTTTCTTTCTCTTCCTTCCTTCCTTTCTCTCTTCCGTCTTTCTCTTTCTTTCTTTCTTTCTTCCTTTCTTTCTTTCTTCCTTCCTTCCTTCCTTCCTCTTTTCCTTTCTTTCCTTCTTTCTTTCTTTCCTTCCTTCCTTCCTTCCTTCCTCTTTTCCTTTCTTTCCTTCTTTCTTTCTTTCCTTCCTTCCTTCTTTCTTTCTTTCTTTCTTTCTTTCTTTCTTTCTTTCTTCCTTCCTTCCTTTCTCTCTTCCTTTCTTTCTTTCCTTCTTTCTTCCTTCCTTCCTTTCTCTCTTCCTTCCTTCCTTCCTTTCTTTCTTTCTTTCTTTCTTTCTTCCTTCCCTCCTTCCTTCCTTTCTCTCTTCCTTCCTTCATTTCTTTCCTTCTTTCTTCCTTCCTTCCTTCCTTTCTTCCTTCCTTCCTTCCTTCCTTCCTTTCTCTCTCCCTTTCTTTCTTTCCTTCTTCCTTCCTTCCTTTCTTTCCTTCCTTCCTTCCTTCCTTCCTTCCTTCCTTCCTTCCTTTCTCTCTTCCTTCCTTCCTTTCTTTTTCTTTCTCTCTCTCTCTTTCTTTCTTTCTTCCTTCCTTCCTCTCTTTCTCTTTCTTTCTTTCTTTCTTTTTCTTTCTTCTTTCTTTCTTCCTTTCTCTCTTTCTTTCTCTTTTTCTTTCTTTCTGTCTTTCTTTCTTTTCCTCTCTCTCCCTCCCTTCCTTGCTCCCTCCCCCTCTCTTTCTCTTTCCTTTCCTTCCTTCCTTCCTTCCTTCCTTCCTTTCTCACTCTCTTTCTTCCTTTCTCTCTTTCTTTCTCTTTTTCTTTCTTTCTGTCTTTCTTTCTTTTCCTCTCTCTCCCTCCCTTCCTTGCTCCCTCCCCCTCTCTTTCTCTTTCCTTTCCTTCCTTCCTTCCTTCCTTCCTTCCTTTCTCACTCTCTTTCTTTCTTTCTCTTTCTTTCTTTCTTTCTTTCTTTCTTTCTTTCTTTCTTTCTTTCTTTCTTTCTTTCTTTCTGTCTTTCTTTCTTTTCCTCTCTCTCCCTCCCTCCCTCCCTTGCTCCCTCCCTCTCTCTTTCTCTTTTCCTTCCTTCCTTCCTTCCTTCCTTCCTTCCTTCCTTTCTCTCTTTCTTTTTCTTTCTTTGTCACATTCCCCTCCTTGCTCTAACCAGGCTTCTCTCCCACTGTCCTCTTGGGATGAATCCTGGATCATTGGACAGATGGTGCCGCAGTGTGTGAGCTAATATAGAGGCAGAGAAGGGGCCTCTGGGGCTGGGGGAAGGGGCCATGTGGGGCGTTTGCAGTGGGGAGATTGAAGTGATCTGGTTCACTTGGAGATTTGAATCAGCAAGTGTGGCTCTGCAAACACAAGGGCCCTTGACATGGAAGCTGACTGTATTTTTAAAAGTTATACTTCAATATATGTGCAACCTAAGAAACCGAGTAAAGATAATGTGTTTTCATGAACAACCTGATGACCCTCATATTTGGTTTCTTCAGTTTATACAAAAGAGGAAGTATTTAAAGACTACACATTAACCAAAGGAGGGCTTTTTGAAGTGAAGCTATGCTTCTCGGAAGCAATTTTTAAAATATGCTTTGAGGACAGTTTTGTTTTTTAAATGGGAATATATCTGAAATTATAAGTCCAGATTGTTGCTGACTCACATTATATGCCAATTTTAGGGCATGTTGAAGGAGTTCCGGTCAAAATGTGCTAAATGTTGTGGACATAGTTCAAGTCACTGACTAGAAACCGAGAGCGGATACTGAGATTTAGAGTGAATGCCGGGGTTAAAACTGGGACTTACACGATGCCGCTCCCACATTTGTCACAGATTGGCATCTTCCGAACGCTGCCAGCACTGCCATGGGCTTTGGTAACTGGAGCTCTCACACTCCGAGTTCCAGCAGGACGGTCATCTGAAAAACAAAGTGTTTCCATTTATGGCAAGCGGACAGCTGGCTACAGTTTGTACTTCACTTCTATTTTAAGGTGTGCACTTTAACCTGAGGAATTCCTAATTTGTGCCAGAACTAGTATCTCAAAAGGAGGACAGATTCAAGCATCACTTGTTCTGAAGTAGGGCCTTTCCAAAAAGGATTTGTTAAAAGTTGTCGTCGCTGCTGGGGGGAGCTGTTATAAAATGCCGAAAAGGATCAGAGAACATTTGGCATTTTTTTTCTTTTTCTTATTGTGGTAAAATATACAGAACATACAATGGATCATAATGACCACTTTTCAACGTGTGATTCAGTAGCAATAAGTACATTGACAAGGTTGTGCAACCATCACCAACAGTTCTTTCCAGAACTCTTTCATCGTCCCAAACAAAAACTCTGTACCCATTAAGCAGTAACTTCCCATCCCCCCTTCCTCCCAGATCCCGGTAACCTCCACTCTCTGTCTTTATGACTTGCCTATTCCAGCTACCTCATAGGGGTGGATGCCTGCAAGATTTATATTTCTTGTCTGGCCTATTTCCCCCAGCATGTTTTCAGGGTTCATCCATATTGCAGCATGTATCAGAATTTGATTCATTTTTGAGGCTGATTAATGGTTCTGTTGGATGGATAGACCATATTTTGTGTATCCCTTGATCAGTTGATAGGCAGGCATATGTGTTGTTTTCACTTTCTGGCTATTGTGGATAAAGCTGCTATGGATACTGGTGTATGAGTATCTCTTTGAGTTCCTGCCTTCAATTTATTGGATATATAGCCAGGAGTGCAATTGTTGGATAATACAGTAATTTCTGTGTTTAACTTTTTGAGGAAATACCATACTGGTTTTCACAGTGGCTGCACCATTTTGCATTCCCATTAACCATGGACAAGGGTTCCAGTTTTTCCACATGCTCACCAACACTTGTAAGTTTCTTTTTTTTTTTTAAATAGCCAACTTAGTAGGGCATTTTGCATTTTTGTGCAACTTTTTTTTTTGAAGTTTTTATTTATTTATTTATCTGACAGAGAGAGACACAGCGAGAGAGGGAATACAAACGGGGGAGAGGGAGAGGGAGAAGCAGGCTTCCCACTGAGCAGGGAGCCCGATGTGGGGCTCGATCCCAGGACCCTGGGATCATGACCTGAGCCAAAGGCAGACGCTTAACGACTGAGCCACCCAGGCGCCCTATTTTTGTGCAACTTTTAAAAGACTGTGTATATCTTTTTGGGGTAGAAAAACATTGATAAGATTATGAGCCTTGAGGACAGCAGTAGTGGGCTAGAGATTCAGCCTTGCTTCTAACTGGCTGTGTCTCTGTACAAATCCACTCTCTCTGTGTGTCAGTTTCTCCTTTGTTAAAAGGGAAAAATAATAGTTCCTGTCTCACAGGTTATTGGGAGGATTAAGGAATCAAGTATGCAAGATACTTAGCACAGGGTTTGGAACATAGTAAGTGTTATTGAGTGAACATTTCAGTGTTATCTTAAAATTTTCATGATGATGACACCGTGGAGCGGGGGGAGGCTGAGAAATTTTGCAATATCCATTTAAAATTCTAACTAATGATTTTTGAGCCAAACTAGCCCCTTGACTACTATGGATGGAATTTGTCTTTGGTGTCCTTTTATCACCGGGTTGGTGGCTACTTGGATACATTCTGGAAGCTCCTTTTCTAAACCAAGTGCCATCCAAATCTTCCTGAGGAAAGATTCATTGATCACTGAACTAAATCAATTTTTAGTCTTTCATTCCCAGTATGTTTGCTATCCTCTCCTCCATCAATACTGTTCCAGCAGGTATTCATGGCTGCTCACCAGGGCCATCATTCACTAATTCCTGGAGCACTCTGAAGGAGCCCGACTGGCGAGGCTGAGTAGGCTCATTCCGATTGTCATGGAGCATCCGGTACACATCTGACTGGGGGGGCACCAAGGCTGCGGGTTCACTGAAACACAGGATGACATGTGAGCAGTGTCAGGAGCGTTGTGAGGCATGGAATGTGCAAGAAGCCACAAGACATGGATAAGCAATAATCACTATATTTGCAGTAACTCCTGAGCAAAGATTCAGGATTTTCAAGTTAATCTCTATACAGTTAAAAATATGGTATGAATTCACATGGGTCACTTTCATGATGTCATTCATTAACCTGGGAGTCACATCAGCACTTCTCCATCTGGCAGAATACTTTAGAGGGCAAGTACAATGTGACTGTTAGGGAATAGTGATAAAAAAAAATAACACTCATGTCTGATGGATATATAATTATAATGTGAACAAAATTAACTTTTCTCAGAAAAGAGACAATATACAGATGGTAGGAAGTGCAAGAGTGAGCCCAGTTTGATTATTCTCAGTCATAAAATTGTCAGTAAAGTTCAGATTCATTTCTGATATTAAGCTGAAAGGTAAGGCTTAATTTTGTTTTAGGGTTAATTTGTTAACTCCTGAGAACAACAAAGTTATCGTTTTGCTTATAAATGGAAGAAATTCAGCTTGTATGTGAAAATACATAATGTAGAAACTTTCATAGATACGTCAGTTATATTGATTACATTGTTTTTAATAAGCACATTATAATTCACTTACAACAATGATAGCAGCTTTATTTTAATATTCTACAAATATAATTCATGATGAACAATAAGAAAATGCCTCAATAATACTACATGTCAGGCACTAAATGCTTTATTATTTAATGGCATTTAATTGCATTATCTAGAAAAGGTAGTTGCTATCTGCACATATTTTTACTACCTATATCATATCTTAAAATCATCATCTTATATATCTGAAATTCTTCGCAAAAAGGCTTTGAGATACATTACACCTTTATTATCTCATTGTATTCATCCCTAGAGCTATTTTGGGATATAGTTACATAGTACTCTAAAACATTATAAAATTTTGATTTATAAAAAGTGGTTATATAATACTGAAAGAAGTAGTAAGTTCTTATCTTATAAGTCTTTATTTGAAAAAACTTGATGGCAAAAGCACTTTGAGGAAATATTCATAATAAAGAAGAATTGAGCCAAAATCGGGACCGATGGAAATTAAATATTTACATTAATAGCTTGAGCTTATAAAACTTTATTCATGGTAAAAATTCTAAATGGAAAAATGATCACCTCTCCACAAGCTACCACTAAAAGAGACAAGAGGTGTCACCTCTTAAAATTCCTCTGAACCTCCCATTCCTTTCCCAATTTTTGACCCCCAAAGAAGAAGCATAGACTATACTAGATTGTAAGTTACTTTTGGGAAGGATTGTACCAGACATTTGTAAAGAACACTGTGGCTTTCTACAGGAGATAGACATTTGCTCCTTCCCTGATTTCATTGTTTTGTGCTCTGTTGCGTAAAGTTCTACTTAGTTAATTCTTGAACTCACTTTTATCTTTAGGTCTAGATATTTGCAATACACCCCTAGTATTTTTTTCTTTAAAGCTTTCCGCATAGCTTTCTTTGAATTACGACAATGTTAAAAGACACCCGTAAGGTTGACATCGCCCATGTGTTTAGTTAATATGCCCATGGTTCAAAAAGACTCGCATTACCTCATTGAGGGTGCTTCCCCTAGAGCTGTTGAAACCTGACCCTGAAGTGTTTCCATAATATTGTCATCTGAGTACAACTGCATAGGAGTATTAAACTGAGCATGTACAATCTTCACACCGGGAAGTTCCATTTCCAAAGGAATGTTAGGGGCCATCTTAGCAGCAACTTTCAAGTCACCTGGGCAAATAGTACTAAGAGTGCTGACAGAAGAAGGGGTGCTACGTCCGCTGCTGCCATCAATGCCGGATGGAGTGCTGCATCCACTGTTTTAATGACCACGTGACACAGAGGTGACACAGGAATCGGAAAACCCAGACAGAACACAGAGAACAGGTACAGAGAGGTTAAAAGGAATTGAAGACGGAAAGTAAGATGTGAGTTAAATCAAATTCGAATGAAATGGTTACTTCTGGCTAGGGTGTGTTTTACAAAGGGAAGACATTTCAAAATTCCTGATTGAAAAAAGTGCAAGAAAATTAAAAACTACAGGTGCTACTGCATTTTTTGGCTCTGTTCTACTAGGGCAACATGTGGAGGGTTACACACAGAGTTGTATGTGAGGTAGAAAAGATGCAGCTATCTTTACTTTTTAAAAATAGGCCAAATGAGGGTGCCTGTGTGGCTCAGTTGGTTGAGCGACTGCCTTCGGCTCGGGTCATGATCCTGGAGTCCCGGGATCGAGTCCCGCATCGGGCTCCCTGCTCAGCGGGGGGTCTGCTTCTCCCTCTGACCCTCCTCCCTCTCACGCTCTCTGTCTCTCATTCTCTCTCTCGCAAATAAATAAATAAAATCTTAAAAAAAAAATAGGCCAAATGATTTTAAACTGGCCCACATCACAAACAAATGGTGCAGGGAAATGACATTGGCTGGATGTCCTTTTACATTTATGAGCTGCAGTATGTAAAATCAAAATATTCCTGAATGATCCTTCACAATTAGTAAGGGACTACGCAGCATGAAGATCCAATCAGATATTTAGGCTAAACATTTCATGAGAAGTGTTTCCGAAATGCACTTAGGCTTTCACTGAATAGTAACTGGGAACTTGAAGGTTCTGTGATAAAGATTATGTTTTAAAGCTATTTTGTAAATGTCTTACAGTTAAGATTTTAACTTTTTCTACTTTTATTCTTTAATTTTGTGAAGAATACACGTTAATAAACTGTTCAGTGATTTAAGACAGGCTCTAGAAACAGCCAATAAGTGCTTGTCACCTTGAAATCAATTGATTAGAGGGCAAATAAGGTGGTCTTAGACTCTTTGGACACTACGTAGGGCTAAGCTATATTTCTTTCATACATAGCTATTTCATGTAACAATTTTGGAGGCACATATGTATTTCCATGCATATTTCTCATTTCCTTTTAAAGATCAACTGAGGAGACTTGTTATTAAAATATGAGAAAGGCCAGTCATGCAATTTCAAGAACAGCTAGGAAGATTTCATATTCTCTATGAATCTGGATAAGAGGCTAGTTACAGCTCACGCACCAGTGACTAAAGTCATTTTTCTACATGCATTTTAAGTGCAGCGTGAGAAATGCATTTTACAAGAAAATGGAATATACTGAGATTTTTTTAAAGCACAGTCATTTAAGACTAAGCCAAAAGAAATGTTAGTATTTGTAAACGTCTATCATGCTTGCAGGTTAGTGTTGCTATAAACTCCAGACAGAGAACAATTTATATGAGGTGTTTATCTCAAAGCCCATTTTCTCTTAGGGCTTAAGGGTGACTCTTGCATTTACTCTCTAGGGCTACTAATGCTAACCTTAGCCCCATATAGACAGCAAAAACCAAAAGGATATTGGACATTGATTTTGTTGACTTCATCAGTGTTGTAGCCTGCTTAGTCTGGACAACCCATGTCACAAAGTGGATTTTTAAATTTTTTTTTGTCCTGTGTTATCCATTGCAACCACCTGCATGACCTAAATGAGGCAAGTACATATGGATGTGCTCCTTCACTTCCTGGCTGTTGAGAGCCTATTTAAAACCCAATCTCTAAATTGGTTAATCACATACAAAATGCCCAGTGGCTTATTTACCATTTTTGTAAGCTCAACACTGTACTAGCTCCTGAAGTCGACCTCAGTCGGTAAAAAATAAAAGTAAATTTTCAGTTATAGTGCAGTTTACTCAGGATTATATTGATTTAACTTAAGTGCAATGAAGCATATTAAATTGTAATTTTGGGATTTGAAACACTGAGTTAAATCTTGGGAGAGTTGGGCTTAAAATAGTGAACCTTGTCAGCAAGCATTTATAGCTACTCTGACCCTACTGTGTGCCAGGCATAGAGCTAGGCATAGAGTAGATAGATAAACTATGAGTAGTCAGAACTTACAGATAGACCTTATCTTGTAGTTGTAATTAGTAATCTTGTATATAGCATGTTTGTGTATATAATTTTATTTAAGCAAGGATTGTGTCTTCTATTGCCTTGCTTCTTTATCATTCTATTTAGGGGCCCATAGTTATTGAAGAGATAGGAAGTAAACCCTAAGCAAACACAAATGACCTTTTATAAATTTCTGGGGCAGTTTTACAAGATCTCTTGAACTGATGATTTAAATAAATAGTTTTCATGGACTTCGGTCACTGTGGGTATTATCATGGGTCACCATGACCTATTCCTGTGACTGAAAATGTAGGTACTAATGAGATTTCTTTGACTTTGACTTACTGACTTGGCAAGACCACTTGTAAGCTTGGTGATACACTCAACTACTTCTTGTCTCTATAGATCATCAGACAGAGAACTAATTTCCCTGGCCTGTATACAGGCTTTTTGGGATGAACTTCTTGATGTGACCTGTCCAAAAACCACTCACAAGATTCTATTTTATCATTTGGATCTATAAAATAAAATTTTTAAATTTACATATTTGCATATGAAAACACTGACTTTCTAATATGATTCGATTATGAAATAATTAAAAGAACCATAACTATCAGTAAGGCCCTAGGGAGATTAACATATTAGCAATCTAGCATCTCCCACTTACTTCTGATTAAAAAATTGTTCATTGATGTGTAGTTGTAGCTTGGTGGATAGCCACCTCAAATTCCACCATGACAAAAGAATCATTTGGTAAGAACAAGGAATTCAGAAGCTAGAGCAAATAGTGAGAGGACGCAGGAAGAAAGGAAAGGTAGTACAGGCATTTTTACAATTCTTTAAGATTAAATGCTGGTGCCTGTCTTTCATCCCTGTTCCTCCTCTCTCCTCTCCCAAATTCAGCTATATTGAAAGGCACCTTACAATGACAAAAGTATGAGGGGCTTGTCACTATTACCATTTTTGAATTAAAATGCAAATATAAAAAAAGGCCATTAGCTACCTAAATCTCTCTGACTTTCCCTGAATTTTTATAAAATTAAATGTGTTACTGGTCTTTAGCAAAGGCAAGATCTGTGTCACCCTAATGCCCTCCTGAAGTCCTATAGTTCAGATTAGTGAACTTATAGTTAAACCAATGTCAAAAGAATGCAAGTGTATTAATTTTACGATGCTTCTTTAGAAAGTAGTATATATATTTATTCAATAGTAACATAGCATTTTTACTCTTAATCTAGTGTTATGATATCAGGGTGGGGCTGGGAAGCTATTGAATGTGGAGAAATCGGGAGATGATTCAGAGGAAAATGGACTGGGAACCAGAGAATGAAAAAGAGAAGTAAAAAAGGCTTGTGCAGAATTGCATGTGTGAGAGAGGGGTGATAGTTTTGTTTCTTCTTGCCATCAGAAAATATTATCAGGTACTCTTAGGATTTTGTTCCTTTATCTAATGAACATTTATGGAGCATTTAGTCTGTCCCAGCCTTGTTTCTAGGTGCTGGGAAGATGGAAGGTGCTCCATTCTAGTGGGGGAAGATGTACTTGGTAGTCACTGCCTTTTTAGCATCGTCTCCTGATTTTCCACTCTATTGCTTCTGTCTGAGTCTGATATCACAAAATTGTCCAGCTTATTTTGAGATAATCCTCTGGCCCTGACTCCAGTTTATGGAAAGGTCTGCATAAGGAGATCATATATCAATTGATGACTGACCACCCAGAGCACATATCATAAACTTGGATACCCCCAAGGGCTAGCAGGGTTACACATGTATGAAAGTGGCCCAGGTATCAGGAATGATGGGCATTTTGACAGGATGGAGAGAAGATGTTCCATCTTAAGGCATTTACTAAGTTCATTTTTTTTTTAAGCAGCAGGAGGATTATGTAAAACACTGTCAATTAATCAGATGGGCCACTAGTTTGGGACACTGGATATAGATCATTAGTCAATAATCCTAACCACCAACTTCCTTCCTCAGGGCTGACTAATGTGGCTGAGGTCAGAGGAATGGGTTTGCGGTTTCCTAAAGTCACTCTTTCCCAAAGTGCTAACACAGGGCATTAATTTCCCCCCCTTAGGTTGAAGTACAATTTCTAGAGAAGATATTCATTTGAAAAGGATCATCTGAAGATGACCTATTTCTCTGATTGACAGCCATGAAGAGCTTGCTCATTCTTATTGCCGTGTGCACACAGTTATCCATGAGGGGTAACCGACATATCTCCCTCTCTCCCAACTCTTTCCTTATACTTATATTCCCCAGTGTGGAAAAATTCCTTTCCAAGTGGCTTCTCTTTCTTTGTAAGGATCCATAAGAATGCAGAGTTGTTTTTATGTAAGAGCTAGAACGAGTGGGATTACCCAGCGGGCTGAAGTTGCAGTGAGAAGCAGGTGTTGAGGTGGCCTCTTCAGAGAATGTCCAGCATAGAAAGCTGCACCAGCACTCCCACTGGGCCCCACCTGCTTCCTGACTTCTGACTTGGGGCTGGTTTCCAGGTTTGTTTCTGCTGGCTGGGCCTTCCTGACCTGGGAATGGGGTACACCTGCCTGCCTCAAAGGTCACTGTGTTCTGGATGGGCTCCTCAGAACAGCAGGGTATTAGTTATAAATATACGTGGTGATTGCCTAGCTTTTCACAGCTCTAGAATCTTGTCAGTATTTATTCTCAGAAATGGAGGTTAGCGGCCTCCTCTGCTCTGTGAAGTGAGTTTGTTTCTTTTGCTTTTGAAATAAGCTTCAGGATGAACAGAGTCACTCCAAACACCTATGTGTTACTCTTCGTAGTGATTAGTAAGGATTTTATTAAAGAAACATGCACTCCAGACATCAAAATCTCAAAGCTTATGACCTGCTTCGGCCTGGGATTATGAAAGGTTTGGGCCGAATATTGTGCTTGTGTTCAAAGTAGTTCACATCCTGTAAAAACAAAGGGTTAAAAAGTTCCCTCAGTGGAAGATAGTTTTTTTTTTTTTTTTTTTTAAGATAAAAGTAAATGAATGATAATTGTACAGAGAGGATTATTTACCACCGAATAGTGACATGACTAAGAAGGGTGACAATGGAACCAGAGTGATTTCTTCGTTTTAAGCATCTGTTCACTAGAAATGTTCAGGAACTGGCAGATTGGACTCCAGAACATCAGAACCATGTTCTAGATGCTTGTCTTTAAGCTAAAAATCTGATCGTGCCTTCAGGAAAGTAAAAATAAAACAGCAAGAGCTGAACTTTTGAAAGGAAAAGAAACCGTACTATCGCTGTTAAGAGCATGGTGGCCGGAAACCCAGTCAGATACTTACCTTTGAGGCGAACTAGGAATGAGACCTCGCAGCTGCCCGTGAAGTGCATCTTGTATATTGCTAGTTGAATAGAGCCCAATTGGTGAGTTATAGGAAGCGCTCACTACCTGTCTTTTGTCATCAATGTTTGCTGCTGTAACAAAAGGCTGGGCCCTTCTGTTGTGCGCGGTACCAATGGGTTTGAACTCCTGTACAATGGCAGACAAAATACACAGAGCCACAGAATGCACAAGAAAGCCGTTAATGAGCAAACCAACAGCATCGCTATTGTTAATCAAGGCTTCTTTACCCCACTGCAAGATTCATGGCAAGGTTAAAGGAGGAGGTGAATATAAAACTTTCTACGTTTTCTGTGAACTTTCCATGTGCTGTACTCAGCCACAAAATGGTGCAAAGGAATTGATCTTATTTAAATATTATAAAATAATTCGAACATTATACCTTTCGTCTGGCCCTACTGACTTTTTACGTCTATAGCTTTTAAGAAATTCTCATATGACTCCTTTGAAGACAGAAATTCCGTGTCAGAAATGAGATTTGGGGCTTAGAATAATTATTATACTTCACATTTCCTCAAGTAGAACTTACGTTTGCTTTCTCTTCTATTAATAGAGAGCTTTTATCTCAATAAAAGTTACTCCATTTTAGGAAATGGAGGAGGGAAACAATCAGAAAGAGAGGGAGCATTTGTGAATGACTATACTGAATCACTTTAACTAATCCAGGTAAAATTTTCTTTTTTCTTAATACCTACCACAAAGAACAAAATTATTTTTTTCAGAATTTAAATTTCAATTAGCCAACATATAGTACATCATTAGTAAAAAACAAAACTCTTAATTTGCATTCAGGTCTAACCTTAAATTTAGAACAAATAATAAGACTTAAAAGATGTTTTTTCCCTATGAGAGCAGGTTTTCCAATTTTTATATAGATTTATAATTTTGTAAAGTCATTAAGTATGTTTTTCTTCTAAGCAACAGAAGAAAACCAAAAGGGAAGGCTAAAATACACACAAGCTGATTCTCTTCCCAAGTCTTTTCATTTGGCAGGATCAGTAAGATAAATCTTTCCAATATTTTCACTCACACACTCACATCGACTTCATTTACTTTTGTGAATGTGTCACCAGTTTTTCACACAGATTTCAACTAGTACAAACATTTATGATTCTTTGAAATGTTACTGAAAAGAGGCTGTTTTTATTAAAAAAATAAAAAGGTCTTGTGATATTCTTACTCATGTCATTTTTTTCGCTCCTTGTCATTACAAATGAATAAATTGTGGGATGGTGCTTTTTTGTTAGGAAAAGAGACTGTCTTCCTTTCTTAGGGGGTGGAATCAGAGTTTTGCACAGAGATTCTTGTGCTTGAGAACACCAACAGCTTCCTGGAGGGACCCATGCCACAGAATGCTTCGTTTGGGTTCTGAGCAGGCAGTCGTCACAGATAGTCCCTGTTCCTCCATCCAGGTCCGTTGGCAGTTAAAAAGGAAGTGAGGTGCAACTTCAAATACTAGCGGAGTCTTTGACCCCAGCTGCCCCAAATCTCACAGAACGTGAAAATCAGTGAGGTGGTAGAGAGCAGCTTTTCTCTCATCAACCTCAGACAGCATAGTATAACAGCCTCTTGAACTTGAAAAGGTCTGAGTTGAATACAATTAGCCTGTGATCCTGGAGTATTGTTAGCTTGACTAATATCTTACTGATTCATTATTTTTACCTCCAGAAGAGTGGCTCACTGCCTACGAGTTGGTTGGGCGACAAGATAGCTGCCGTTATTAGGTGGCAGAATGACCGAAACAACCAAATTTGGCTTTAGGAAAACGCTGAGTCCCACAACCTGTGAAAATGTGTGTAGTCAGACATTGATGTAGTGGTACCATCTGATTGTTTCGGCTGATTTAATAATGAATTTTGATTGGGTTTTTATGATTAACCATTCTGATTAGCCATTATTATGGTATGAAAAATTGAAATGGAAATAATTGTAAGTAATGACAGTGGCCATGATTCAAGCCTTTGTGACTCTTTTTGGTATGAAAGAAGACAGAAGGCTAATTGTCTCATTTAGTTTTGGTGTATTTTAAATTTCTTAGGCTAATTAAATGAGTGAATCAGGCAGAACTGAAGGACTCAAGCTTTGTGGAATTCAAAAAATGTTTTTCTTTTAATTTAAGTATACCTTAAAGATCTTGGTAAATAGAATTAAAATTATAAAAATTGGTTAATGTCATATGATGGTTTTACGGGGAAAATGTCTCTGCCCTTATTACTTCTTAGTCTTAAAATGATAAATAAACATGGATGGTGACTGTCCTATAAATGAGGCAACTTCTCTGGAAATATTTATGCACTAGTAATCTCTAGTAGTGCTTCTAAAAAACAGCATATGAGTTAATGAGCTCCAAGCTTTTTCTTTGCTGTTTTCATTTTGGGTTATATATTGCAGAAGTTGCAAATGGTAATTTGTTAAAAAAAAACACCTTCTTTTTTCTGCACATAATCATAAAAGGATCATAAAAGGAAGTGTTTCTAAGATAGCCTTCAAACATTTGTATTTAGGCTTTGCAAAGCATTAGTTTATGGGCTGCTAGAGTCATTCCAAAAAAAAAAGCACAATAAAGTGTATACATCAAAGGTAAACATTTAAGTATGGCACGGAGAGGCAACATTCTATCCAAATCTTACATCATTGTTGATGGTCAAACTGAATCAAGAGACAAAACCGATGAGAAGTTTGCTATTCCACTTTAATTCCTTTTTACTTTTTCAGGAAAATCATTAGTATCAGAAAATACCAGTAAAAAAAAAATTATATACCAGTCAATGTAGTCCAGCTCTTGTGTTTATTTTTCCCAGACAACAGCATCCAAATGATTCTCATCTCTTAGGAATTCAATAAGTAATCACTACACCTAATTAATGCATTTTCAATAGTATTTTTTAAATGTTAGGAGCTTATATTAAGGAATAATATTTTGAATTCATATAATCCTCGAGCTGCCAGAGTCAAAGCTAGGTAACTGGATAGAGATTTGCTGATATTGGGGAGAATGCAGGTCTTGATAACCATCTCCCAAGCCCTTAGAATAACCTCAGCAATGACAGCATTCAAAGACACATCCACCTTTCAACTTCTTACTGGAAGAAGTTGTCCAGAGATAGAGATTCAGTCCAAGAACTGAGGTAATTACCAGCTCCAACAGAAACAACATGTTCGATAATGTGCGTATATGTATGTATGTATTTATTTATTTATAAAAAACAGTGGTGGGGAAATAAGGTAAACAAACTATATCAAGTGATCATATACTTGGCCAAGCCACACTGAGTAACTGACAGTATCTTATCATGTTTGGAATTTATGAACAATCACCACCCTTAACCTCTTGCTCACCCCTCAAATGAAAAATAAAGTCGCCCTTATAATTTTTTCCCCCCAACAATCTGTTTCAAGTGTTTCCCATATATAATAGGGGGAGAGTTTGGGGAAATGGGGTTTAAGAAACCTTGTTTTCTGTAATCCATCTTCCAGTTATCAACAAATTGTAGGATAAAGGTATATTTTGAAAATATAAACAACTTTAACCCATACCTCACTTGATTTTGTGTGTTGTTCCTATACATCTTTATTATTAAGTCTTCTATGGCAAGGATGCAGTCCTTTTATGGAAATAGACACAGCTATCTTCTCTTTTAGGAAAGAATGATTTTGTTTCTGAAAAGCATCTTTCCTGTATGGGATAGCTACATTATAATTTTGAGTTAACTACCATTAAACAAAGAGGAGAGTAATGTTTTATTTGAGAATGCCAGCTTTGGAGAAGGACACAGAGCTCTAAAAACACCTTTAGTCTAGAGCAATAACGCTTTGTATAGGAAAATGCATATGTCTGCTCATAGGCCATATTCAGGATTGTATAGAAGGCATTTATTCAATGGCTGGGAATAACTTTTTATATATAAATATGTAACTTTTTATAAATAAATAAGTAACACTTATTCAATGGCTAGGAATAACTTCTAAGGTTCTATTTAAGTCTAAGATTCAAGTCTACACTGATAAAAACAAAATGTAAGTATTTAATAAAAACATGGACAAATGAAAAAAAAAACTGGGTATTAAAATTTCATGTCAATTATTACTATAACTGTCTAAGAAAAAGTCCCCAAAGCCTAACCCTATGCATAGGGAAAAAACTGGAAAGAAATACACTAACATTTTTGTTTTGTGGCTGGGTTTAAATGGTAGGATATAATGAGTTTTTTCCCCAGTGGATATATATTACTTTTAAAACGGAAGAGTATTATAGTCCAATAGCAAAGATCACAAAACTTGCAGTTAAAGTTTCACTTGGGTTGAGAAGCAAGAACTCAAATATTGTATTGCTCAATGGCCTTTTCTCTTCATCTATGGTAGCATCTGAAAGCATGATATATTAATGGCATGTGTTTCTCAGATGGACACATCTTTGTTGCCCAGAAAGTTGCTTCATTTGCAGAGTTCCCATTTTTGGGGTGGGGGTGGGGGAAGACCTCTCTTTGCAAGACCTCTTTTTGCATGGCTTGTGTGAACAAAAAGATAAAATAAGAAGACAAACATAACCTCAGTTTAGCTTTTCTCCACTCTCATGCTACAGGTTAAATTCACTGCTTGTATTTTTTTTTTTTTTTAATCACTGCATTTTGTTAAGTTTATGCTTTGGCGCTTCGGATAGCAAGGGTCATGCTGGCGTTTAGCTATGTTTGTAGGGAATGTCCGTTCTGAAGTGCCAAGTTATGTGAACTGATCATGCAGAAATCTGGCCTGAGGATCCGAAGGACAGGAATCCTTTGGCCCATTAGGGGAAGAATTGAAATGGTTCTTATCTCTGAGACCTTCAAACACGGGCCTCTCGGAGGAGGTGCCAGTAAGAATTAGTCATGACTCAAACTAAAGGAATGTTCAAAGGCCCCATCTGACTGGCTTCTGCAGCCTTTAACCCAATCTTCACCTTTTTTTTTTCAAACCTATCTCATTCTCTATCTTTTCCCCATTGGTACTATCATACCTGTCCATATTGCCTAACCCCAAAATGTAGGACATGTGGGCTAATACATGATTGACGAGAGGCCAGAGCACTTAAAAGTGGGCTATTTTAAAAAATCCAGTTCTTGGGATAATCATGGTCATACGTTAGTACTTGTAGATTGATAAAAGGGGCTTCTTCGAGAACGAAACTCAAACAGTTGGCGCTTAGACTCCAGTTCTGGAGAGATGTTAGCAAAACACAAGCTCCCATCTTGGTCTAAGCTCAGCCTGTGCTTAATACATACTTGCTGAGTCACCCACATGCCAGACACTGCAACAGGGTCAGGGATCACTGGGGATCTGGTACTTTGGTCAGATCTGTCTCATTGACCTCATATCTTAGCATCTCATATTGGTGAAACTGGATTTTAAAAATTAGGAGAAATTTTGAATGAATGAATGAATGAATAATTTGCAAAGGGTGCAGTACAATTTTGGATGTGTACTATATACGGCAAGGAAATTCAGAATTTTATCCATTTTGTCCTGGTGAGAATAAGAGATTGGGTGGTCAATTAATGCATATGTATGAGCCTTAAACTTTCACTTCTTCCTATTGTTTTTTAAAGCACTACATGATCTCTTTTTCTCATGTGTTGCCTCTAAGTGATGAGTCAATGAAGGTGGGAGGAAGCTGGTGGGCTTGGGCATTACTGCAAAGGACAATCTGCAAGTGATAGCTCTGCCTGGAGAGCTTTGCTTTTTCTCCTTCCAGTTTTTTCTTCTATCAAAGATAATGTTGATTGGAGGTGTTATTATTCACCAATCCACCTCGATGCCAGGGGGTAAGCCACCACCAGCATTCAGACCCCTTTCACCACATTTATTATCTGGCTTGTCTATTTCATCTTTCACTCACTCTTCCTGAAGAGCTGAGCTCTGACCTGACCTAAATCCCATTCACCCTGCACTCTTACCACGCAGCAGCAGGGGCTGGTGGCAGCCAAGCACCATTCTGAGAACTGGGTCCCAAGGGTGGTCCTGGGCAGTGCTAGAAAATGCAGTTTATCGGTAGAACCTCCAGTTCCTTTCACGCATCAGCTATTTATTGAGCGCTTGCTATGCGCCATGCTGGGAGACTCCCAAGTAAAGAGAACAGACACAGCAGCTCCCACCTTCACGGATATTCCGTACCCTGCTCACTCGCTTTGAGGCCTGTTTTCTCCTCCTTTGCTCTTAGTGATTTTTAGGCGCAGGCTCCTCCTTTCCTCCAGTCAAAAGTCTAGGGCAAGGATCTAATAAACTCATGCCCTCTAAAGGTTAAGCCACTCGGGATGTTTCTTCTCCTGGGGGGATGTTATCTGAACTGAAAGTAAAGTTTTAATCCAAAGCAATTTGTAAGGACCCCTGTAGTAGTAATGTGGAAAGCGTTCCTGGTGTCCAGGAAGTCCTGTCACATGGGCAACCTTCCATTTCACTGTCAGGAAAGGCCAGCCTGGTGGGAGGGGGTAGGTACCACACAGTATTACCAAGAGCTCCCACAAAATTGAGTACCTCTAGGAGCAATTCGATGTGCCAGGTTCTTTTTCTACAGTATTGTATTTACATCTTTGAGAAGCCCTATGAGATACAGGTACGTGTTACTCTCAGTGTATTTTATCAAGGAGAAAGTGGAGGTAAATTTATGGAGAAAGTGGAAAACTGGAAGCACAAATTCAGGAGTTGGTGATCCTGGATAAGGGAAATGCTGCTGAAGCATAAGTTACAAATACGTTCTCAATGCATTTTCAATAGATATATAGGAAAACTACAGTTTGGGAATATTTAATCCACTTAGCATGAATACTTGTTTAAAAAGGGATACCCAATTTATATATCTGTCTCTCTAAACTTGGGAAACTTCTGGCTAAGGAGAGGTTCTAAAATCCTTGTCTTAATTACATTTTCCCACACAGCAAAACTGAGGGTTGGTTTCATTTCAGGGTTTTTTTTTTTTTTTTTTTTTGGAGCTTTTGAAAGTAGACATCATCAGATAAGCATCAGATTATTAGATTAATTTAGCTCATTAGAACTGCCTCAAGGGAAAAAGCCTCTATCTTTTGTAATTCTACTGCATGGGTAGAATATCACCATGATTACATAATGCAAAACCCTTTTTGCAGAGTAAACTTAATTATAGAACGCCAGAACTGAGAATTAAAAAGGGATGTAAAATAAGATCTGGATGAAGACCTCAAAGAATTAAAGTTCACAATAATTATTAGATTAGAGACACCTGTTTCAAATGGTAGACACTAATTTCGTTTTGCTTTGTTTTAACATGTTAAACTTCCTGGATTATGTCATGGTCATTTGGCAGAAGTCCATCACAAAGAATGAAAAAATAAGTAGACTGTATGTAGATAGAGCCAAATTTTTGTCCTGAGAACATATTTGCCTTTTAACAAGGCACTTGCCTGGGGATACTTCTTTTTTCTCTTGATATAAAAAGACATGGATAATATAAATTAATCTCACAGGGTAAAGACAGACAATTACTCCATCAGGTGGCTTATTCTGATTTTTTATACTTGTCATTTCTTCCTCTTGGAAGCATCCGCATCATTTAAAAGAAAAGATAATGTGAATATCATTTATTCTAAAATTCATACCTGTGGTTCTGCTTCTAAGTTGATTTTGAAAGGGTGAGCCTTCCCATCTTCAGATACCTGTGGAGACCATAAGCGAGTTTCTGCCCTGTGAATAAAAGAAATTTTGTAAACTCTAAATTCTAATGGTACTTCTGGTTTTAGCATAATTTAATCTACCATAATGTGTATGAAAATACTGTCGAACCTTGATAATTTAAGCAAAAACAATACTCCGTGCTCATTATTCTGTATTCTCCCATCTAATTGGTTTTTTGGGTACTTTTGGGGAAACTCGAATGGATAAAAATAGCACGGAGGACAACTATAGACTGAAGTTTGTGTCCCCCCCCCCCGCCCACCAAGTTCCTATGTTGCAACCTTACCCGCCAATATGATGGTTTTTGGAGGTGAGGTCTTTGGGAAGTAATTAGGATTAGCTTAGGTCATGAGGTTAGAGCTGTCATGATAGGATTAATGTCTTTATTTAAAGAGGAAGAGACATGCGATCTCAGTCTGTGTGTCCACACACCAAGAAAGGCCATGTGAGGAAATAATCAGGAACCTGACCATGCTGCATCCTGATCTCAGACTTCCCGCCTCCAGAACTGTGAGAAATAAACTTTCGTTTAAGCCACCCAGTCTATGTATTTTTGTTATAGGAGCCCCAACTGACTAAGGCAAAGACATTGTACAGTTTCTGGAGAGCGTAGGTCTGGGGTACCTGCAGGAAACAGTACAGGAAAGGAAGATTCTGGAGACTGCAGGAAACAGTACAGGAAAGGAAGATTGTGGATACTGACCACAGGGCAAACTGCCTAGGTTTCCTCTACTTTCCTCCCATCCTACCCAGGCCACCACAGGAGACTGAGTGGTGTGCCAGGGGGATTTGCTGTTGGCATCAAGGAAATGAGCTTTATCTAATCTCATGTCCTTCTCATGTATCTGTTTGGGACCATGTGCTCCTAAGGGACTGTGTGCTTGGCAGGAACACTAGTTATGCATAAATAGGGAAAGAGTCAATTTCACCCCTGAAATGGCAGATTGGCTGATTGATTGGGCCTTCTGAACCACAGCAGGGAAAGTTGGGAATATACTAGCAACAGGATAAACACACACTAACAACCACTATAACAAAACATTATTTTCACAATTCAGCTTCAGACCAGGCCTATGATGGCAAAAGATCAGGTTCAATTTCCTTTTTTTTTTTGGTTAGAAACGTCTCATTTCTAACGTTCTCACTGCATGTGCATGCTTACACCTTGTCAGATTCTTCTGGGCTGAATTCTGTACAAAACAGCCAAAGGCATACAGGCTCTTAGCAACCAGTTTTCAATATGCTCACATTTTGGCAAGTCAAGAGATTCTTTTAGGAGAATCTTTAAATTCCATTCCATTCTCTACCACATTTAGAACAGCAGTACCAGCAGTTGTGCTGGGCAGTGTTTCTGTAGACAGTACCTTTAGTGGTTCTATTTTCATAGTCAATTAGGAGGAAAAAGAATTCTTTTAGCCTCTTTCCTTATTCTGACATTCCAGAGAATTCTTTTCAGAAATAGTTTGTTAACAACTACTCGATTGACTGACATCAGTGAAGAACAGACCAAAGTGGCTGATACACTAAAAAAAAAAAGTCTGTCAAAATTCTAGGTCTTGTGAAACTCTTTCTCATTGGGGGGATGAAATCATTGAGAGTTCTGGGTCGGCTTCTCCTGCAAAACAGATCACATTTTAACACCATTAATTAAAGGGCACCTGTCAATTTTGAGACACAGCTGGTATGTTGCTGCTTTAATCCTGTCCTGTGCATCAGCATGAGTCATGGACTCTGTACCAAAGCCATCAATAGCCAGGATGACATCTCCAGGACACAGGTTAGCAGCTGCCGCCTTGCTTCCCGGAGTGATCTGGAAGAAATCATGGCATCATTTAAAAAACCAACATTCTGCAATATCTTGAGTTTTGTGCCTGACATTTATAATTCAGCTTGGTAATATTTTAAATGTTTCGCTGGGCAGGGAATTTTATTCTGTTATTATTATTATTTAAAGATGTTATTGATTTATTTGACAGAGAGAGACACAGCGAGAGAGGGAACACAAGCAGGGGGAGTGGGGGAGGGAGAAGCAGGCTTCCGCTGAGCAGGGAGCCCAATGCAGGAGCCTGATGCAGGGAGCCTGATGCAGGACCCTGGGATCATGACCGGAGCCAAAGGCAGATGCTGAACGCTTAACGACTGAGCCACCCAGGCGCCCCAAGGGCAGGGAATTTAAAATCTAACTTAAAATAATTCTTAAATGATCAATTCTGTTAGCTCTATTTTTCCACCATGCTAAATAATTTTGTCTCTCACTAACCACATTTCATCTATCATGACATCTCTTATTCTCTTCTAAAACATCTTCCTTAACGCTCTATTTTCTTTGTTTTAAACAAAGTAACTAATTCTTTAGGGTTTTTTTTTTTTTTTTCATCCGTAACTCCCTATTTGGGAGTACAACCTCACCACATTTAGGGAGCTTTTATATTTGAATTGAAACTACTGTAGCATCACTGTAAGTAACGATCTTTAAAATTCACATGAAGGGGCATCTAGGATGTAGAAAACTGGAAAGAGAATCACTCCTGCAGTAATAAGAAGAAGCCATATAATACAAAATTATAACTTCTCATGAACTATTCAGAGAGCTAAAGCTGCAGGGCAACCAACTAAGCCTGGAATCTAAGGAAAGACAGGTGCCTCCAAGGAAAGTCAAGATGTAAGCAAGTTGTACCACTTGCATCAGAGCACAGAGGAAGATGGGGGCAGCATTTGGGTCATAGAGTTCAGCTAAAATGATGAACAAATCACTAAAGTTAACATCTAGAGTCTAGAACCCCTGGAGACTGCAGATATAAGAGAAGTTTGTATTTATACACAGTGTCTTCTCCATGAATGAAAAACAGATTGAACAAATAAAAAGCAACTAACAAGATGCTAGGTTTTAATTAAAACTTATCAGAAATTACATTAAATGTAAATGGTCTAACACATCATAATCTGTGTTTTAACAGAGATTGTCAAAGTAGGTAAAAAAAGATCCAATTTTATGCTGTCTACAAGAAACCCACATGGATTTCTCTTCTTTTCTTTTCTTTTTGGCAGGGTGTGTGTGGAGGTGGATGAAAGGAATACTTAAGGATATGGGAAACATGGTTATTAAATGTTTAAAATATAGCAAATTTGAAATTATTAATTACTATGTTGGGTATTCAGTTTTTGATTGCTATACATACTCCTAATTTTTTTGGGTAAATCCCAATTATTTACAACTGCCTAATAGTCCTTACCTGGTCTTACCCTACCTACTTCTCTACTATTCTTGCTCCCCTCTACCCACTGTGCTATATTCCAATTTCCTTTCAGTCCCTCAAATACACCAAGCATGTACCCTTGCCAGGGTTTTACATGCACTGTTATTTTTGCCTGAAATATTTCCCCCACTCTTCACCCAGTTGCTCCTCTTCATCCTTTAGGTATAGGCTTAAATGTCACATTCTCAAAGAGACTTCCCCAAACATCTGAAGTAACTTCTCCAGACCTTCCCCTCATCATTCTCCACCATTACATTTTGTTCATTTCCTTCCTGAAGACAAGTTGTACTTTAATGTTTGTTTATTTACTTGTCTTTGCAACTAGACTGGAAGTTCTTGAGGATATGTATAGTATTATGTATATTTCTAATGTGTCACAGTTTGTATTCCAGTATTTGGAATAAATGGATAATTGAAAATGAATGAAAGGGTTATTTAAAGCAGAGCTCATGAAACAAAAAGAGCTACTTCCTACATACCCAAAGATTATAGCTATTAATGTCAACCTATCATTGTTGCATTTGCAAGTTCCTACTGTTTAGAGCAGAAGAATGCATGGGACTTGACTTAAACCTCAAACTGCTCCAGGAATAAACTAGATAGTTCCTAATGTTTTACTTGAGGATCATTCATTCATTTTTTTTCTCTATTTGCTTAATTAATCTAGCTATCGATTCTATTTAACTTTGTGGCTCTGAGGGATAGCCAAGATTCATCTAAATGAATAAAATTGCAAAGGTAATAAATTCTCACATGTCTGAGATCTTCAGTCTAATCACCAAAATGTATATTGTACTCACTTGATTTCTGTGATCATCTCACTGTAGTGATTATGATTATTTTCTAATAGGAACAGTTGATAGAAGCTTGGTGAAGACAATGGGGATTATTGGGTGACTGGGTGGCTCAGTTGGTTAAGCAACTGCCTTCGGCTCGGGTCATGATCCTGGAGTCCCAGGATCAAGTCCCACATCAGTCTCCCTGCTCGGCGGAGAGTCTGCTTCTCCCTCTGACCCTCTCCCCTCTCATACTCTCTCTCTCTCTTTTTCTCTCTCTCTCAAATAAATAAATAAAATCTTAAAAAAAAAAAGACAATGGGGATTATTCTATCCCAGCCTTTGGGAGGCATTTCATAGCTGTTTTCCATTTGGAAATTCTCCCAAGCCCAGAACTGTTAGAATAAAAGTTTCCATCCCCAGTGTGACTTGCAGGGATAGAAATAATCTTAAACTTTTAATCTCCTCTAGCTACAGTTTGTCAAAATCAGTACTATCTATTTTTGAACTTCGGAGACCAGAAGTCTTTTCTTTGAGTTAAAAAATGAGAAAGAATGGCTCAATATGTTTGCTTTTAAAACCTCACCTAGGTTTTCTAATATACTTAAATAGATTTGTTATATAATGCTCAATCTTGATTTTGAAAAACCTAACATCATTTTTTAGCTCTGGTTGGGATAAGTGGAAGGTAGGGTTGTGTGTGTGTGTCTGTCTATATCAATTTTAAACTGAGACATCTGGTGTGTGTTGAACTTTGATACTGAACTTCAATACTGAGTTTCATTAAGAGAATTAATACATAAGTATTAACACTGTCTTATATTTACTGCAAATATCATATTTGCAAAGCTCTTCCTAATAATTTTGACCATTGCAACAACTTTAAGGCAAGTTGGATGATGAAGACTGTTTTTTCAGAAGAGGGTAAATGTCCAAGTAACCTGTGGCTTCCTACTAAGATGGGAACAGCTGTTTGGCTATGTCAGCAATGGTTTCAGAAGTCAAATAAGAAAAATAGTTGGGGAGGTCTTGGTGGCTAAGTTGGTTAAGTGTCTGCCTTGGGCTCGGGTGTGGTCCTGGGGTCCTAGGATCGAGCCCCAAATCGGGCTCCCTGCTTGGCGGGGAGTCTGCTTCTCCCTCTGCCCCTCCTTGTGCTCTCTTTCTCTGTCTCAAATAAATAAATAAAATCTTAAGTAAAAAAAGAAAGGTGGTTGATGGTGATGCCAGAACTCACTTCTGATTTTGCATTCAACCTAGTGATTAATGTCCTTGGATCTCTAAGGAGGGAGTTGATAAGAAAAAAAAAAAAAAAGGATGGAGAGAGAAGAGAACATATGGTCCCCTCACTTCTTCTAGTTCTTAAGTTCAGCTAGGCTAGTAATGAGAAAATGACCACTAAATTGGTCTGGTTTTAGTAAGTTAAACTATCTGTTTAGACATAAAGATATATTTCTCAGCATTACATTATATTATTACTTTATTATGTTATCACTTTATGTTATTGCTCATAGTTTATTATTAACATTTTCCCCCAAATCAGGAGAAGAGAGAGCTACAATGAGGCAAAGAGTTTCTCAATAGAGTATTTATTATTAGGCTCATTGGAGTCTCAAATATCAAAAGCATTAGAGAAAACATTGAAAATAGTACTGCCATATCAACTTCTCTAATTAGAAAAATCACATGGGGGCCCTTGCTGGACATAAAGACTCCCATTCTACTCCAGATGCCTGGAATCACAAATCATAAGCTCTAGGAGAGGACCTAGGGAATTTGTGTTTTAACAAGCACCTTGGATGATCTCTATTATTCACATCAACCTATTATTTGGGTCTGTTTGGAAGACAATACTTTAAATCACAGATAAAGCATCTATAATATTCTACTTACTGGGGGAGACATGAGGGAAGCACAAGATATGGCTGGCCCTGGTGAGACCTTTTTTTTAAAGATTGATTGATTTGGGGGGGAGGGCAAAAGGGAAAGGGAGAACAGAATCTCAAGCAGACTCCCTGCTGAGTGAGGAGCCCGATGTGGGGCTCCATCTCATGACCCTGAGATCATGACCTGAGCTGAACTCAAGAGTCGGATGCTTGACTGACTGAGCCACCCAGGCCCCCCTGGTGAGACTTTTATGTTAAGAATAAAAATGAAATAGTTATGGACAAGTATACACTGAAGGGCTATGCTGTGGGGCATGGATCGAAATAGTGAGAAAGCCCATTGTTCAGTTGTTCTCTGTTGCCTACAAATAAACTCAATGCTCCACCTGGCATCTAAAGCCCTCTAGTGCCTGGCTGTCATCTGCATTTCTACGGCCATACCTCCTGTCGGTTACCTCAGATCCTCTGCAAATAGCACCCAGGCATTGATAGTTTCCTATGTTATCTGGGTGAATCTAATGTGCAGCCAGGGTTGAGAACCATTTGTGGTATTGTTATTATTATTGGCATTGTATTCCTGAGCATTATTATCTCACAGAATTCTCAAGACACTCTTTTAAGATGAGAAAATGGATGCTCTCAGAGTCTAAGAAACTTGCTTGGGGTCACACATCCAGTAAAAATCTGCATTTCCTCATAGGGCTAACTCTGTAGCTCAAGCTCTTCCACTATCCTACAATGCCACTCCTGCAGGTAATCTCTGCCCTGACTCCTCCTATCTCTTTGGCCATGCTTTTCTCATGGAGTCCTGGACAGGTTATGTCATGGTAGTTTATGTACATGTATGTCCCTTCTCTTCTCATATTTGAGTGTCTCAGGGAGTAGAAACCTATTAAGTTATAATTGTATCCCCCACAGTGCCTTCCACATTCAGGGTGTTCTGCATTTAATAGATATTTGTGGGATATAGGACTGTTATGAACATATGAACCAGCATTTCCATGCAGACATCTTTGGTAGAATAAAATTAAATAGGTTTTCCCATCAACCTTCCTACTGCACTTGAATCCTGGTGAAGGATTGCTTTCAACTGTAAACACTTCTTTCTAAAAGCTCGAATTTCAAATACAGTTTATATTAAAGTCATATACTTTTCTATGTTCAAGCCTGCAAAACTTAAGAATACAGTAACATTTTCTATATTGGTACGCATATAGTGTTCTCAGTTATAGTGACCTTGGCCCTGAGTGTGCTCTGAATAGGAAAGAAGGAGGAAGAGGGGGAGAAGAGGCATTGAGCGGGAGAGGACATGTCAGCATCAGATGTATATAATAATCTTACATCATATACACAAAAGAAACTTGTACTTTATTCCAAATTGGACCATTTGTGAAAACAAACCATCTGTAACTTGGCTCTGATGGTAGATCCACCTTCTGGGTGGTCCAAACACTTAAAAAAGAAAGAGACTCCTTAGAATCTTCTTGGCAGAAAAAGAAAAGCTGCTCACTTAGAGATGTGAACCTCAGATTTATTCTGTGAAATGTGGAGGGCAGTTATATATGGTGTTTGCAGTAACAACCCTTCCACATCCACAACTCAAATTTATATTGCACAAAGTATCACACACCTATTGCCTAGAAACCATTTTCCTACAAAATGTGTGTATCACACCCCATTGCTGAATTTTTTTGAGAATGTCTGGTGTTTGGTTTACCTTACTTCTGGTGTCTTTTATGATACAGATTCACCCGGCTGATTAATTGGATCGTAAATTATTTCTATGATGGGGACACTTTGTCCTAATTTTGTGAATTGTAATTTCAATTGCTGGAGAAAGTTACATTTGTAAACCCCTCCCCCAACTCTGGTGGAGTAGAGGTCCACTGTCTAGGAGCATTTGCATTTGCAAAGTGTGAGGCAGGGAGGGAAGGTGATAGTTTGCAAGAAGACAAAAATTGATTTGACTTAAGGAATGTATCTCGGGAATTTTTGTGGTATTAAGTTCAGGCATTAGTTTCTCAATTCTTTGCATACTTAAGATCTTATCTAAAACAGATCAATGAACAATAAAGCAATTCTCTTTTTTTATTGTGGAATATCTTTGAGGATATAATCTGCACCTATTGTGATAATAATAGTTATATAAAAAGTGAAAATTTAATCAATTATTCATATTGTGTCTATATTTCTGTAACATAGATGATGCTCAGCACTGAGTAGCCCCTAAATTTAAAATTCCTGCCTTAAGGGAGCATAGAATTTGTGGGATACAGATGTACTCAAATAACATCTGTGATACAAGACATGATGTAAGGAGAGGCTGTAGGGCAAAAGCTATGGTAATCAAATGGATGAAATGCTTACTATGAGAAGAAGCCTAGGGGCGTGGTATTTGATTGAGTTTCCTAGCAGAGGACAGTGGGTTGGGTGGGGAGGAGAAATCTGGAGAAAAATGATAGCGGGTGTAGACAGGTAGAGAAATCATAAGTTGTCTGGGGTGGTGACACAACCGCTTATCTACAAAGTGAGAGGAAGAAAGGGAGAGAAAAGGAAGAGAGAGGGAGGAAATGAAGTTGGAAACATGAATTGGGAAGAGGGTGAAGGCTGTGAATGTGCTCAGAGACCGCACATTTTATTCTCTCTCAACTGGTGTTGGCATTGAAGGATTTTTAAGAATGGGGAGGATAGAAGCCACCTAGCATTTCCCAAAGATGGCTGGTAAGAAATATGCAGAGTGAATCGGAGAGGGGAGACAAGGAGCTAGGTGTGAAGTTACAGAAGCTTGAATAGGGACAGTGGTAGGAAAAAAAGGAAGTGGTAGATCCTAAAGATAGAGAATCAATAGGACCAGATGATGATGAAGTGGTTGGCACAAAACACCTATTTGGAAAGATCTGTACAATAAACAGGTTTTTTTTGTTTTGTTTTGTTTTGTTTTGTTTTGTTTTTGTTTTACACATGTAGACTTCAGAATGCAGGTTTTGGAGGAAGGTAGAACGAGTGTCAAGTTCTGTCCCACCTTTTGTGACCATCAGCAAGTTAGTGAAATTCTTGAGGCCTCATTCTCTCATCTGCAAAAAGAGATATTACTACTGCTACTCTTTTGGAATTATTGTGAGGTTTAAGTGAGTTAGTGCATATAAAGGGCTAAGAGACATTCATGGCAAGCAAAGGAGTACAATAATATACATGCAATCTTACTCACTACCTTTTAATATAATACAACAATTATAAAAGTAATAGAATTTTACTATTTAATTACAACCCTGATAATTAGTTTTGTAAAAGATCTTTTAGTCTTTTTACAAGTGATTTTTTACTGTTCTTATAATTTCAGTGGAAACATTCTCAGTTCGGTGTACACTAAGACAAAAAGTTCAAGGGAATAGGCTTTCATATATTCAGCATGAGCCTGTTATGTGCGTGGTTTGGAGGACACTTGGAATACAAAATAGTTGAATTTTACCTGCTATTCTTGAGTTAAATTAATTGAAGAGAAAAGGCATAGTCAAATGAAATCATCACTTAGCTTCATGCATTATTATTGAACTATGTCAAAATGAGGGATATAAATTAGTAATGAATTAGAAATTCAGATAAGAACTGGCTTCCCAAATAATAATTGTCGTATCAAATACATTTGCCAATAGTTCCTGTAGTCCAACTGCAATATGTAAGTACTGCTTTAAAATAAACATTGTTTATAATGTCAACACCTCAACATTTCAAACATAAGATTAATCATATTGACATGTTACATAGTAATAGCAAGATATTTCTTTTATAAATCACTTAAAAGGTTTTGGTGACAAAATTATTTTTTTAGGATTTACTATAAATATGATTTATCCTTTGTTAGGATTAAAAGCTTATTTTCCTTTAGTCTAAACAAAAGAAAACTATACTTCAGAAACTTTAAAAATATTTCTTAGTAGAGATCATGGAAACTGGGTTGGTAAATCCATAAAAGGCATTCAATGCTTGGCCCAGATCACTGAACCATTTTCTCCTTAATTTACTTAGGAACATTTTGGGGGTATGTTAGGTTTTCATGTCTCATACAAAAACACACGTCAGATGTGTTTATATGTTTTTGAAAAATGTAAAACAAAGCATGAAATGTTCCATGGTATGTGCATGTACAGTACATGTTTTGAGATATTTTAAAAAGACATTGGTTCCCAAATCTCATAGATATATAAGTAGAACAGAATTTAAAAAGTATTGCCTTGTTCAAAAATCTATATGAGTAAATCAAATTATAAAGCATACATTTATAAAATACAATATAAGCAGTGAGAAAAAAAGAAAACATAAGGAAAGTATAATATTCTGAAAGTTTATGCTTTTAGATTATGTTTAATATGCCTTTTATTGATAACTGAAATAACAATAATTTTCTATTAAGACAAACACCTGTGTCAGAAAAAAAATCAACTAGACCAACTAGAAATTTACTGACAGGACAGAAATCCCCAAATTTCCTTTTTCTTCTATTCTTTTTTTCTAATTAGACAATACTCTAGGGAATATTAAGTAAGGAAAACTTGGCTCTTACAGTAAAGTACTGTTTTTCAGAGTTATTAGGCTGACTGGTGACTTTCCACCAGGTAAACTAAACTATGACGCGTTTTCTTTGTAGTTTGAGTTATAGGTGATGATTCCTAAGCCAAATTCCCAGCTTTGGAAAATATTTTTTTTCAAAATGCCTGGAAACCTAGGAAAACACATTAGTAATATTTTCCCCGTCTGGGCTGATACGAGCGGTTCCAACTTGGCCGACCCAGGTTGTGCCCTGGGATCAGCACTGTGCTGAAATTTTCATCCATAGGAGAAAAGCGCTCAGGTGCGCGTCTAGCTCCGAGGAACAACCACCACTGTCAGTCATTCCTCCCTTCTTCCTGGGACCTCGTTTCTTTTGTTCCTGAAAGGAAACGGGGGGCGGGTGGAAGGCAGAAGGCCCCCCAGCCCTCGCAGCCTGGCCCCCTCTGAGCCCGGAGGAATCACGCTGTCCGTTCAACTCTCCTAGAAAGTTGCTGGGGACAGAGAGGATGCAGACAGAGACCATTGGAGCTGACTTCATAAATTCTCTAAGTTGCTCCGCATCCTCCCAGCTTCAGTTTGCCAAGTTGCAGCCGCCCCTCCAACTGTGCGCCCTAAGCCGAGGACCCACCCAGCGCATCCGGGGCTCACTGGCCGCTCTCCAACCCGGGGAGACCCCCCGCTCGCCCGCCCCTCACCTGCAGCGAAAGAACGGAAAGCACCTACCCTGGTGATGACCAAAGGCTGGTTGAAGTCTACGCCCCCCGACAGTCTGAAGCCCCAGGGCGCAGGGCCCGGGAGGACCACGCTCTGGGGCATGGTGCTCTTGGCGCCGCCTCGAGCCGGAGCGCCTTGGCTCCCAGGGGCCGGGGCGCAGTGAGGGGCGGCCCTGCCCACGGCAAGTGTCCCCGGACCGGACAGCCACTCCACTCCCCGGAAAGTGCCCTGGCCCAGATTTCGGCCGGGGAGATTTATCCCCGCTCCGAGTGACGTCACTGGCCTACCCTCCTCCCCACCCCCTCCCACCAAGGAGAGCTCCAACTTTGGAAGAAAGAGACGCGCCAGACCCGCGGGAGTTTACAGACCGACACCGGCTGGGGGCAGCCTCCCAGACCTTTCGGCGGGCGCTCGAGGAGGCTTCGGGTTACAGCCCTAGTGTTCCCTTAAAGTAACACCTGTCCTCCTGTTTATCTTCCACTTGGAGCTCAGCAGCGCGCTCCATCCATTCAAAGTTAAAAGCACTGAAACCACAGCTTCTAGGTCTCCAGTTAAAATAAACCAAAAGCAGTTAGTTGCTTAGCAATTTTGAGTGCGCTGATATTTACTTATTAGCTGTGTGACCTTAGTGAAGTTACCTAACGTCCTTAAGTCTCAGTTTCTTCATCTGTAAAACAGGAGTACTCATTGTACTTCTCTCGTAGGCTTATACCTTGGGAATTCAATGAGCTCCTTCTGCGCAGAGCCTGGCACAGCATCAATAATTATCAAGCGTTTCTGCAAGTAAGTACCTACAGTCACCTATAGTTATGGGTATATATAATATGCATTAATACATATACGAATATATTCAAAATTTATTTTTTAAAAACAAAACAATGTAAAAGTGAAAATGTCATGCTCGATCCAAGGAACCATCTAAAAGTACACATGAGAAGATGATTCATCATTATGCTCAAAATATAGTTTAATTTTGGGCGCCTGGGTGGCTCAGTCGTTAAGCGTCTGCCTTCGGCTCAGGTCATGATCCCAGGGTCCTGGGATCGAGCCCCGCATCGGGCTCCCTGCTCCGCGGGAAGCCTGCTTCTCCCTCTTCCACTCCCCCTGCTTGTGTTCCCTCTCTCGCTGTGTCTCTGTCAAATAAATAAATAAATCTTTAAAAAGTATATATATAGTTTAATTTTGATTGGAGCAATTGTCACCTCCCTCAAAGTCAGTCTCTAAAGTTGGTTTTTGACACATGGGAGGTGAGTGTAGCAGAAACCTAGGAGGTGAGAGTGTCCTGTGTGGGCCTTCAGACGGAAGGAGGGTGCTGAGTGGAGCAAGGTGGTCCAAGAGGACCCCCAGACCAGATGAAAGCACATGGAGGAAACGGAGGGCAGGCGTTCACTGAGTATCTCTGGGTCCAGGTGGTGTGGGGATTGCTGTGCGCTCCTCACCTCATCCTCGTGGCAAGTCCGTGAGAATGCTATTCTTATTCCTATTTTTCCCCTTCAGGTGAGGGAATAATTTCTTAGAAGTTGAGTAGTTTGGGGCGCCTGGGTGGCTCAGTCGTTAAGCGTCTGCCTTCGGCTCAGGTCATGATCCTGGAGTCCCGGGATCGAGTCCCGCATCGGGCTCCCTGCTCAGCAGGGAGTCTGCTTCTCCCCCTGACCCTCCCCCCTCTCATGTGCTCTCTCTCTCTCATTCTCTCTCTCTCAAATAAATAAATAAAATCTTAAAAAAAAAAAAAAGAAGTTGAGTAGTTTGTGTAAGATCACAAACCCACGTTTGCCTGACATCCCTGTCTGCCTGGTGTAGGTATAAAGGTCAGAAAAGTCTTTTTTTCAGAAAGAAAAAAAACCAGACAAGATATTTGGCATGGTGTAATTGCAATAATCAGTCTTTTATACATCACCTCACATCATTAGCTGGCTTATATAACCAGTTGATTATATGCTTTTTGTTTTCTGCCTTTTTACATGTCATTTTGGTGCCATTTAGATATAAGCAACATCTGTACAACATTAATATAATAGCTGATGAGTTCTTCGGGCTTTGCAGAGAGAATGGAGATCAGGGACATGAAATGGGCAGTTTTTCTATATCCTACTGTTCCCTGAGGTCAGCAGGAAAGCGTTCAGGGGTGATTGTCAGAGTAGGAGCGGGAATAGCTGTGAGGGAGAATTCTAAGGAAGAAGCAGTGGCCCGAGCCTGATCACTCTCAGATGTTTCTGCCTCTGGTTTGGGTACTATTCTAAGAAGTGCTTTCTGGATGACCCTTCCATATATTTTCTTTTTATATTTCCCTTTTTTAAGAATTATGATAGTAAAGGGCGCCTGGGTGGCTCAGTTGGTTAAGCGACTGCCTTCAGCTCAGGTCATGATCCCAGGGTCCTGGGATCGAGTCCCGTATCGGGCACCCTGCTCTGCGGGGAGCCTGCTTCTCCCTCCCCCACTCCCCCTGCTTGTGTTCCCTCTCTCGCTGTGTCTCTCTCTGTCAAATAAATAAATAAAAAATCTTAAAAAAAAAAGAATTATGATAGTAGAGATAAAAACAGAAGGACCACCTGAAAAAAAAAGGGATTACGATAAACAATTTATGATTCTGTTAAATATGACTTTCATGATTATTGTTTTAAGCCAGGTTTAGAAAGTTCTTGAACATTTTCTTTTTAGAGGAGGGTCAATAAAAATTGTTCATTCTACTCTTATATAACTGGAAAACTCTTGGTAAAAAAAAATCATCTTCTTAGTTTAATTCTCAAACCTACAATTTTAACCTTGAACTCTCATCAATTTTCTGATCTTGTTTTTCTAACCACCTACTGGTACATATACAATCCAACCTGTTCAAACCCAACCCCATCATTTTCTTTAGTCACCACAAGCTGATTTCCTGGTCCCTTTCAATGCCTTTCAATTTTCTCATTTCTGTTCATTTTTCTACTACTGTTCCAGGTTTGTAGAATAGATGCTGTAAATTTTTCCTCTTCTTTATTTTCTGTATGCCAAATGTCACTATGTATTGTGGTTTATTCATTTGTTCGTTCATTCAACAAGCATTCACTGGGCATCTCTGACACGTCAGGCACCAGGAATGCAATGATGAATAAGGCCCACTTTCTGTCCTCTAGGAGTCAGTGATAAAACAAGGGAGGTGGAGATGTAAAACATGACCGCATTATGGGGTAAGTGCTGGGACAACGTTCTATACACTGATGAAGAATGAAGTAATCAACTCTTTTTAGGGAAGGTACCAAGCAGTGTTTCCAGAAGAAGGGATATTAGAGCTGGATTTTGACGGGTAAATAAGAATTTTCCAGGTGACTGGGAATTGAAAGGGGCAAAGGAAGGAGGACGCTCAAGGTAGAAAAAACTGTATAGGATGTGCGGTGGCAGGGAGGAAAGAAACAGATGGCAAATTAAGAAATGGCAGGTAACTTGGTATGGATAGATCTTATCATTCTGGGTGAGGACAGGAGAAAAGGGTCATAGTAGTCAGGGACCATATCAGAGGGATGTCATCTGTTAACTGACATTTTGATTTTATCTTATTGAGATCCTTTGAAGAGTTTTAAGCAACATGTATAATAATCAGATTTGCATTTTACAAACATCATTTTGGACATTGGGAGGATGAATCACGGTTGCAAGAGATAAGAAGCAGGGAGTCCAGTTAAAACTTACAGAGGAAGATGTCAATTTGGGCAGTGGGGGTGGAGACGAATGGGCAGACATGGGAATCATTAAGAAGGTTAATTGATGCAATCTGAGGACAGATCTCACATGGGGAATTAGTGAGGTTAGGTCATTTGGGTGGCTCTCAGACTTCTTCATTTGGGTATTATGTGAATGTTTGAGTTATTAACAAGGAGGAAATATCTAAGAAGTATAGCAAGATATTTTTATTTTAATGAGGGTTTGGCAGATTGAAGCAGTTTTGGTAATGCTGGATTTGAAATACCTGTGGAATATCTGCTATATAGTATACTGATTATAAAACTAAAATTTGGAACCAGACTGCCTGAATGATATCCTTGCTGCATGATCTTTGGCAGATTATCTATCATCTTTATTAAAACGATGATTACCATAGTACTTGCCCCCTGGAGTTATTATGAGGTTTATATGAGTTAACAAGTACAAAATACTTAGAATTTGCAGTTATTAGGTCTTTACAAGGTTATGTGTTGACTGGTTAATGAAAATGTTGTGACCAGAAGGTCATAGGAACCTAACCCTGTATTTCCCCTGGGAGCAATGGTTCAGTATTTGCTAATTTGGTGTTTGCGGCAGCTTTATAGAACATAACTAATGTGAATAATGAGAACTGACTATAATATCATAGAAGTATGATGTGTATCATGTCACAGATGTAGCCATGTGTAGTAGCCCTTCTCTGATGATGATTAAGGACACCCACAGCCTCCCCTGCTCACCTAAATTCCCAACCTCCCCATTTGGAGCCCAGGGTGAAGAGATTCATGCATTTATCCTTTTATCTCTTTAATTTGTTTGTCCTGATTGTTGGGAGTTTAGGCATATGCCAGTCTCTAACACTTGTTTTTGTTTTATTTAATTATGTTTAAACTTAAAAAACCCCCAGTTCATCTGTTCTCCCTTACCTCCCTACTCCCTGCCTCTGGCAATCACTAATTTGCGCTTGGTTTACTTTCCTTTTTGTTTCACTTTGTTTTGTTTTTTAATTCCAAATATAAGAGGGATCATATGGTATTTGTCTTTCTGTGTCTGACTTACTTCACTTAGCATAATGCTCTTAAGGTCCATCCATGTTGTCACAAATGGTAAGATTTCATTATTTTTTATGGCTGAATAATATTCCATATATGTATATATGCACACATGCATATCAAAATTTCTTTTTTTCATTCATCCATTGATGGACACTTAGGTTGCTTCTGTAGTTGGTGATTGTAAATAATGCTGCACTGAACATGGGGGAGCAGATATTTTTTCAAATTAGTGTTTTTGTTTTGTTCAGATAAATATCCAGAAGTGGAATTTCTAAATCATAAGGTAGTTTTATTTTCAGCTTTTTGAGGCACCTCCATACTGAGTAGTTGTCCCAATTTACATTCCACCAACAGTACAAAAGCTTTCCTTTCTCCACATTCTCACCAATACTTGTTATTTCTTGCCTTTTTATACTACCCATTCTGAATGGTGTGAGGTTGATACTTCACGGTGGATTCGATTTGCATTTCCCTGATGATTATTGATACTGAGCATCTTTTCATGGAACTG